TTTTTTTTTTTTTTTTTTTTTTTTTTGGAGAAAGTTTCTATCGGCAGAGACTAACTACGGTATCTAGTGATTTTTTTTTTTTAACTGCTTTTTGTTTCACCTGCTATTAATGGTCGGTGAAAAATATTATTGGCTTTAGGACTAAGCACATGGCGAAATCTAGTGAAATCGTTCGAACTTGAGAACGATCAAAACCACACCTTTCTACGGAGGAAGAGCCTCTATTTCGGACTTAGGGGGCTCTCACACCGTGACAGAGAGTCAGAGAGCGTGCAGTACTGGCGTTTGGTGTTCGCTCGACGCGTAGAGTGCGGTGTATGGACGCGGAATAAATTATCCGAGTGTCTCTCTGTGTATGCCTGGTGCCTATAATAATTGTTTTTCGTGGGGGGATGATGCCGGAAGCGAAGTCAGAATGGCGGAACCTCAGACGTTCACCCAATGGAAAGTTTAAGGCTTTTTCAGTACGGCTAAGAAACTCGCGAGGTGGGCAGTGATACTGAAAAATCGAACGTTGTGAATATTGTATAGTGACAGCAGCGACCGAAGCGAAATACAATAGCGAATGATAATTGAGATTTTTGTCCCTAGGTAATTCGCGTGGGGAATTTTTTTTTTCCCTAATAACCCAATAAGAATTACGGTTGGCAAGAGAGAGAAAATGAGATACTTAAAAATTATTTGAACTTTTTATTTTAGTGAAAAAAGAAAAGTGTAATTTTGGTGCTCTTATCGATTCATCGTAATTCTCAGTGTCAAAGTCGACGATCGACTGTGATTGGTTCTTTCACGAGTGTCACTATAAATATTCAAGCGGAGACCTTGAAGAGTTAAAAAAAAAAGTATCGAAACGTGCTCGCCTCGACAGTCGATTTAAACTCCCGCCAATTTCCACGTTCCCGGTTAAAGGAGTTGGCTGCGCAATGTGAGCATTGGTAGAAGAAGCAGTCTTAAAAATCATACGCAATCGCGAGGAAGCCATTTTCGTATGGTAAACATAAAGAAATATTAATCGCGAGCGACGATCGCAGCGAAAATAAATCAATCGGTCGATCACGCGTCCATCGAATTATTCTAATCCCTAGCACACTCACGCGAGTTTCGTTCGTTCAATGAAAACAGCCTTGAGACATGGTCAGCCAATACGCGATGGCCACCACGGTTCGTAAAGTTAAACAGGAAAGTCGTCTGAGACGGCAAAATCAAAATCAAGGTAAACCACCGAATTTTCGCATGCAGTTTTTAATGCGCGACAAAGATACGAGAAAAGTGGATTAATTTGAGAAATGAAAAATAAAAGAGAAAAGAAAAGTATGAAAGACATATCATTCTTTCAGATGAGGAAGGACCATACAAACCGGTACCCCCGCCCAAGCCGGTGCAGAATAATCAGAAGAGTCAAAATTATCAGAGTCTATCGAACGACCAGCAGCCGCTGGCGCAGACGAGCACACTGAGCGCAGCCCGTTCGTCAGGGCAGGAGAGCCTCGTGCATAATACTGGGCAAAGCCCGGAGTACAGGATGCCACCGTTATACGGCGAGGATCAGAACCCAAGTCAGATTCAACAATCCGCCAACTTGCAGACACACAGCAGTAAATTTCCGGTGCGTAAACACGTCCTGGACTCTGCGCGAGGCTAGTTACAGCGAATGGGGTATATAGAGTCTGTACGCGATAACATCACACATTTGCAACCCAAGCGTACAGAGTTACGTGTATATGTATCGGTCGACAGGGAAACCGGAAGTATCCTCTGACGTTTACTTTTTTTTTTCCTGCTTCTCGAACCGGAAACGGCCATTGGGATCGGTGAAATCTTTGGTAACAGTTCATTGTACGCAACTTGTTGCTCTTGGGAAGATTCTCAGAGCTCGGGTTTACTTCGCGTGCACGGGGGCACCGAGAGACAAGGATAAAGACAAAGGGGAGACGGACGCGTGTACCGTTTGTTCTGCTGCACCGGAAACTATTTTTTTTTTTTCCTTTCTTGGTTTCGGATATCACTTTTATTTACGCGCACTCCTTTTTATGATAATTCTTTTAGCGGATTTCGCACCTACGTACCAACTGTCACGCGGGATTCGAATTATTCGGTTGGTTTTGATGGATGATCTTTGTGAGGGGTGGAGCGGGGGTCGCAGGGCAGGGAAGCGCCATTGTTAAGATAGATTGGTATTTAATTTTTGATAAGGCACTTTTTGACTGCTTATATGGTATAACGGTACTGGGCAAAGGTGAAATTTTTTAATTACATTTTCTCCAGCATATAGGACACTAAGGTTCCTAAAGCAGTACGCGAGCGCGCGTTACTTTCTTGCTGTGACTGAGTTATAACTTTTCGAGCTTCTTTTTTTTATATCTATTTATTAAAATAACCTCTTGAATTATGGATACGGTGATACGTAATTGTGAGGAGACAGATTTTTTTTTTGGCACCGTATACGAGAATTCTAATTAAGTCATCAGACCGAAATTTAATGGGATTTGGTGGGCAAAAAAAGGTTTTGATGTGTCTTAATTTCATAATTTTTTCGACAGATCGAACGCGAGGTGGTCCTATCGTCCAGTGATAAGAATTCAAAAATCCCGATACTGCACGAGTACAAACAAAGGACTTCAGGGAGGGTAGCCATTGCGCCCGATGCCCCGGTTAAGCAGCAAGCCTGGGTACAGGAGGTGTGTAAGAAAAATCGTATGATATTGAGTACGATGATATTTAAAAAAAAAATATGAAATTAGGTAAACGTAAAATTTTCACTACGTCACCCAATTTTTTTCTTCTTTATAACCTTAATATATAATGTCCGCGCATAACTTTGACCGCCATACAATTTTAGGCGACGTTCTCCAACTGCTTCGGGAGGCACCGACAAGCGTCCACTTACTCACAGAATGAGATTCTCTAACGGTTCCTACGGTTGGCTATTGGTGAACCAGCTTACTATACGTTTACTACGACAAAGCGGGATTTTGCGTCGCTGCATGATTCATAACAGACATATACTATATAGCTATAGTGAATGCATGGTCATTGACACTGGTCTATATCCAGATCTAATCGTTTAAGCTATAGTAATATATTCGGAGTGTAACTTGTGGATCTCACGATCAGTCAAACGTGATATCGGACAATGGTAAAGTGTTAAGAGAAAACTGAATTAAAATTAGTATTAAGACATGTAAAGCCTCCGTTGACTGTAATGCAAGGTTTGAGTAAGGGACGTGGTGGGTGAATTTTGGAATTTTTTTATTTTCAAATTGCTCCGCTGCAGACATTTTTGTAAACGGTAGAGGCTGTATGAAAAAATTGCTTTACTAAGGAATAGAGAAAAATTGATAGTGCGGTCGAAGGGTAAAAAAATAATTTGTCAACTTTCCTATGGTCAGAACTAACGTTGGTGGACGTAAGTCAGAAAATCTTTTTCCGTATGCATGCTGCGTGGTTAGGGCCTAGCGAGACTCGTTCGCCATGTTGTTATTCAGAGAGCATCGCTTCCTAAGAAGCAGAGGATTTCAGTCTGACAACTTTGAAATTCTCCGAGTGGCTTACACGTCTGACGCGTCAGGCCGTTATTCGTATCCTGAAGATCGTTTGAGGGAGATTTTGTAAAGCGTGTGGAGCCGATAGAGACACAGAGAATAAAGGACGGATTGACAGCTATCTTTATTTTGCCTATTGGCTCCGCATTGTGGTCTCTGACTCGTGCGTTGTTTTTGGTGGATTTTTTTGTCACGAATTTTAAAATATTAAGACATAATTTTTATTTATAAAGACAGACCAGCTGTTAAGCATCCATATTATTTATATCCGTTTATACAGCTGCGAACGAGGCCCATCTTGATATTTTATGTGATTTCATGGAATCGTGTTGTAATTTGAAATTCAATGAGTATGAAGTCTTTGTTGGGATTGGTCCGTTAGGTGCGCCGGATAGAGCAGCATCGCGTGGCATTGGATAATAAGATTAATGGTGACCGTTAAAGTATCCTTGAAGTGCATTGGTAAAGTTGTGTATTTTGTTTCAGGGTAATCAGTTGCAAGAGTTGAGGCAAGAGGTGCAGAGAGGACTACAGTCGCAGGAGAATTACTCGTGAGTCTCTCGGCTAAGAGTGAATTTTGTTGGTTTATGACTTTTTTGTTGTTTTTGACATTGAATGATAATTTGTCTAGGACCACGGCGACTGGAGCTGTACCAAGAACGTCTAAGATCGAGGAGGAAAGAACAAAGTCCTTATCCAGGACTTATCACACTATTAAAGATATGATATCAAGTAGATTTGGACCAAATCGAAAGGACGTTGATGCCGAGCCAGAAGCCAGCTTGAATAACGTGGCGGAAGAGCTGAGAAAATCAAGTAGAAGTATCAACGAGGAGGAAGCAAAGAAGAAGGAAGGTATTTATGGGAAGCCCAGGGCTCAGGATCCTCCAGTAAATATGCAGCAATATCCAAAAAATTCATACGGTGAGTATAAAGGAAGATTTGAGAAGAAAAAAGAGAGAGGGGATCCAATGGGAACCGGATTTCAGGTCAGTATGGTCATTCTTATGGGTATCAAACTGGACAGCAGAGTGTACCACTTCCTGGACAGTTGCAAGCTGGACCTCCGATCCAGCCTAGCTTACCAGGTCAAAGTGCGCAGCTTCACGTGAGTCACCACACGCCAGCCGGTGTTCAAACAGTTCATCAGACTCAGATTGGTTCATTTCCACAAACGCCGGGAGGTCAGCAGGTGCAGAGCGTGAACCGTGAATACGTTGTACCTGGGCCAGGTGCAGTTAGCAGTTCGTCGCTGCATCAAGGACTGCATCAAACTGTGGCAGGTGCCAAACACGGATTGTCCATGCAGTCGCAAGCTCAGCAACAAGTCTACCAGAGTCCGCAGCAGCTGCTTCATCAGAATCAACTTCATCAGAGTCCAAGATTTGCTCAGCAACACGCTCAGAATATGCATCAGCGGCAGATAATTCAGCAAATGCATCAGCAGCAGATCCAGGCTGGTCAGCAGACGCCGCAAGCTGGCCTTAGAACTGGGCAACAGTTCACCAGTGGCTATCAACAGTATCAAGCGCGACAGCCAATTTCTAGATCTCAAATAGATTTGCCAAGCACGTCCAGACAAACTACGGATGTGAGGATACAGAGCCAAGAGGTCTATTATCACTATAGTCAGGGAAGACCTCGTTATGGGATTCCGCAAGTCTATATGAAGACAGAAAGCAATCAGGATGTCGAGTTTCAGAGGAGAAACTCTGCCAAGAGGATCGAGAAGGCCGCTTCGCAGCCTCAACTCAATTACGAGGATGAAAGACCAGTTGGCGCTGATAAGAGCGATCTTCTTGATAAGGAGAAGTACGAGATCACTGTTGAAGATCGGCAGGCCGAGTTCGCCAGGAACGGATCTCAGAGGAAGGAGGAGTACAGGCCGGAAACGAGTTTTGGAATACGCAGGGAGGAATTGCGTGCCTCCAAGAGGGATCAGGATTACGTCGAGGAGTCTAAGGATTCCAGTGCCGTCCAGAAGAGGGTCGAGGAGCTGCAGAAGAGAGGAGAAACGTCGTACAGTCCAAAGCTGTCTAAGGAATCGTTGGATAATGACATTGTCAGAAATACGACACATAACACCTCCAAACGAATCGATGATAAAAGACCGGAAGCTGTCAAAGAGAATCCTATTAAGGGTGATACCAGGAGGGATGACTTGGACCAAGGAATGAGTCGACTGAAAATCCAGAATCAAGGATCTGGATCAGATTATGACAAAGCCGGGCAGAGCTCATCAAATGTGGATTCGGGTCGAGGATCTGCTGTGTATTCCAGTGGAAGACGACCACCCCCTGAAGATCAAGGTCTTCCTCAAGGTTTGGATACTTTTCAATAAATAAGGTAACACTTTTTGCTGTGCTTACTGATCAACTGAATTATTTTTTTTTCTAACACAGGACAAGATTCCGAATGGGTTGATATTGTAGAATCTGAATTGAGAAGTATTCTGGAACCTAGGGATGTACCTGCCATGGCGCATTCTACACTCTCTGAAAGTGTTTCCTCCGTTACGCCACCCTTGCCACCGTTATCGCCGCACGGCAGTCCACGTACACCTAGAAATCGATACACAGCCAGGTAAGGGTCCATACGAGCTCCTTGTCCCATATTTAAATGCAGTAATACTTCCCATTTGTCCGTCCATAATACATTTTTCAATTCGATTTTCCGATATTTTCTGCAGTTTACCGTACGGCACAAAACCTAACTACAGCGACTACGGCAAGGGAACTGATAAGAGAAGCTTCCCAAGTACTTCAAAGCATCGCGGTGCTTCTACGACAAAGAAGGAAGCAGCTAAGAAGTTCTCTCATCGTGAGTACCAGTGGGATTTCTTTTTCCTCTCAAATCGCATTGGTTACGTCATAGCTTTTTTATTTTTACTTTTTCTCCAGTCTTTGGCGTTGAGGCTGCAGACTTGACCTCCACTACGACAGGGCTTGACCTGGATTCTATGTTAGATAGAAGTGACTCGGATCTCAGTACCAATGACGCAAGAACCATTAGAAAACAATTGGAAGGTCTTGAGAGCATGTACAGTGAGGTAAATAAGATCGAATGAGATTTCATGTTTAACCACTTAATCAGGGATCACGTCTCTCAGACGTTCAGCTGTCTGTGACCCAGAATTGTTTTACACGCTTGGAAGGCGTAAGCGGTCCGCTGACTTTGGTCTAAAAATAATTTACCGCGAGACAGTTCGAGCTCGCTAAATTAAATGCCAGGTTAAGTGGTTAAGGTAGCTGAATATGGATTGGACTGTTTAAATATTCTGAATAGGTATTAAAACTCCTGGGAGGAAGTGTTAAAAAGAGACGGAAGGCGCGAGGACTGGCAAGTTATGGATCGGTATCGTCCTTACCAACATCTTCGGTATCGTCGAGGCCTGTCACGAGGCATCATGATAAAAGAAGGTCTCACATAATCGACGACAGGATGAAGAAAGCCAAAGACATCAAGGTAATATTGAATCTTATTTTTTAAATTCTTCTCTCTCTTGACGATTTTACATTCTATTTTTTTTTTCCAGAGCATCAACAAAAGGTTCCAGAGATTGGAGTCCCACGTAGTTACTCTGGCCAGGTCGGTCGCTCATCTCAGTTCAGAGATGCGAACCCAGCATCTTATGATACAGGTACGTTTTGCTTGGATGAACGTGAATAGGAATGGTCTTTAATACAGTAAGGGACGATTCGAATAGGAAATGGAGAATATACGGGGCGAAATCGCCGCCCTGAGGACGCAGACAAGCATGGCGATGGTGAGGTCACAGTCGCAACCCCTTATCAAAGATTCGGAGTTGCCTGCCCTCTCGAATCCCTCAAGGGTAAAAAAGCTGACCAAGTTTTTTGGTACGGAACCACCGCTCATCAGGCTCTTCCTCCGGGAACTTGGGTATGAGGTAACTGTCCTTGTCGTCATTCCGAATAAGCAAATACATTTTCCTATAGAGGATTGTCTAGCTCTAACGTGAAACTTAACCGAGAATTTAACAATAAATTCCTGTGGCATAAAAATTAAAGTCAATCAAAAATGGCCTCATAATGCAATTTATTGGACAAAGGGGGTTCCCTATTGATTTTGTGCCATCACTATGCGTGTCTTTCTCTTATCCACATGAATGCCCATAAGACCGTCTCTCTCGCACTCGCAAAAGGTATAGGAAATTGAAAAATTTTAAGCGAAATTCTTTGGTTTTACAAAGGATGACTTATTCTTTTTTTTTTCCCATGAGATGGCGCTTAACGAAAGTGATTACATAAAATCCGTCAAATTTAATTCGTATGTTTAACATTGACTAAGGCTGTACACCTTACTGTATACATAAGGCTGTCCACCGTGAAGCAACTACACATAACCCTTTGTAATGCCTCTGGGAAATATCTTTACAGAAGTACGCAAATGCATTCGAGAAGGAGAAAGTCGGCATGGTCGAGTTGCCTTATTTGAGCGAGGAGAGGTTGCAGAAGATGGGCGTTCCCTTGGGACCGAGACTAAGAATCCTCCAGGAGGCAAGGATATCCGTGTGCAAGGATCCCGTTTACGTCGTATAAAATGACAAATTTACTTTGACCCTCCGTAAGCCGTGAATCGTACGGATTTCTCGGTTTGGCACGAGAGAGGAGGAAAAAGAAAAAAACATTATACAGTATTATATTTTATAAAAAAGAGAAAGAGATAAATTCTCGTCAAAGGAGTAAAACAAAAGACGTCGATAGTTTTAATGGAAACAAAAAAAAAACGGTTAACCAGCGTCTTCCTTCTGTGCCGTTAAATTTTCTCGAATCCCAATCAAAATACAAAGTAGGATCTATGGCGGCCTTTAAGACTTTATTAAGGTACTATGTGTAGTTCTAAGTAAGATAATTATTTCCGATAAGATTTCGATTATTTATAATGAAACTCAGTGAGTCGGCATGACTCAGGCAGCTGTAACTGTATTCCTTGCGAGTGAAACTCATCGAGGAGTGCAAGAGGTGGTGCAAAATATTTTTGCCAAAGAGACGCAGGATTTTTTTTTTTAATTATACACGAATACGTGGGGATTTCTTTTTTCCTTGGTATGTATAACGTCGTACGAGAAACGTTTTTCTTTCGGTGAAAATTTATACGACGGACAATTACCAATTTATTCGAGTAGAGGAAAAAGAAAAGGAAAATAAGAAAATCATAAAATACGTCAAAACGTATCTCGTACCTTACTCTGGGACCTTCTGCAATTTTTATACCCAAGATACACTAATTACTCGGTGCTGCTCGTACTAGTATGTAATTCGTAGGACGAACAATGCTATGAGATTTCGTGTAAGGTCCGTTTTATCGACGTTAAGAATTTGTACAGTTATTAACTATTCTATTATTATTATTATTATCTTGTTAATTCTTATATTTAATAAACACACTTCGGGACACCCACCCGTTTCAATAATTTCGTTTTATTTGCTTTCGCAAATGAAACGCTGATAGCAAATGATGACAGGACATAATTTTAATCACTTTTCAGAATTCCACGGAGTCGTAATATCTCATTAGCTGTGTGAAACTTCGTTTCTTAAGGTTTCCGTCGCTCTGAGATCTTACTGAATGTATCGCATTGAATTGAATAATTTGTCTTACTCGTAATACTGAGCACACAGTCTAAGTGATCTGTTTTTATGACCCCTGACCTCGGCTTGCCTATATCCGACAATGCATAATAATTGTTATACATGTTCGAATCAAATTTTGAACTTTTCGATTGATAACAATTTTTTAAAAATAAAACACGTTATTCAACGCGTTAAATCAAACAATTTTTTCCACGGCAGCGACAAAGCGATAAATTTTTTCGTTCGAATTAAAAATTTCGTAATTTCCCTTTTTCACGCCATAGTCCGTCTCGCCGCAGAATTCGACTATTTTTACACAATCGAGGGAGGGTCGGCACCGTTCTTCCGGACAAATTGGACCAATTTTATCAGGAAATGCACAATTTAACAATTGTCGTCAATTATTTTTCTAGCGGTCTCGTCTTTGATTGGTCATCTGAGGCCACGCCACGTTGGGTCCACGAGTAGTACTTATCCTTAGTCATACGTTCCTCGTGCTGACGCTGGTCTGCCGATCAGACCAGCCAATTTTATTATCTTACAGGATCCTTAAATCAGCATAAGAGACTCGCCTAGTCAATAAAAGGTCTTCAACCCTTAGTAATCACGTACCCAGTAACTCTCCCCAAGAATCGCCAACCCGTTACGGTAACGTTAAAGGGGCTGTGAAGGCGCCCGATAAATTCCTATAGAATAATGACGTCCAAAGGAACCGCGGGTCAAAGTTCATACTGATAGGACATAGGTATAGACATTTATATACTTACTGTACACTGCAAAGATACCTCGGGCAGTCGTCAGGCCGTTAGGTCGTCCGGGTGCGAATGAATCGTAGGAGTCAGCTTTGATAAAGGACAAGTAATTCTAGTAGAAATTTAAGCTAGGTTAAAGGAATACGTACGTGGACGAATATCCCTCAGCTAATACCGACGTTAACGCTGTCTAAGGATACGACCATAACCTATCGGACTCGTAAGTTCTTTTTTCGAGTGAATATCAAGCCCTAAATTGTGTACAGATATAATTTCGTTATTCTACTTATGACTACGAAATCGTATAAGCGTGGATAAGTTCTGCAGGAAGATGCTATCTCAATTGACCTATGCCCCACCTCCTCCTACTATCTGACTTCTCCTCTGAGCGTCGCATCGTGTTTCTTTCACTTGGCTTTGAACCACAGTAGTGATACGATGAATTACAGGAGTGCAGGCGTTCCCTTACTTCTTCTATTGGCCGTTTCGGCTTATGCCGAAGTCGTACAATGGACGGCTTGCAATTACGAACGTAAGTACATTTAATTTATTAATTAGTAAGTTATTGGCAGTTGATCAGCCAGTGGATTATTAATTGGGATCTTGTTACGCACGTGAAATATATTTATTGCCTGTTCGTTTTCACTTATGGGGGACGAATGGGGTTGAGCGAAATATCAGATGGTAGGTTATAGTCCGTGAGGGGTAACTTAGGAATCGAGTTAAATCTTGTGAAATATCAACCAACCTTACTTCATTGATACATGTGTTTGTATATATACTTTTTTTCAACCCCTGTGAAGAGAATTGAGGCAGTTTATAAGGACGTGGATATATGGGGGATTGCTATCCAGACTCTTTGTAGGCGATAGAATTTGGACGAGCGTACGCTCGCCTTTTTTTGTAGGTCTTATCACTGCTTTTTTTTCGTCGAGTTGGACCCTTGTCGTGAACTCGTGAACTCTTGAACTCGATCCGCTGCTGAATTCGCGATACTTTTCAAAGGCGATGTAGATTTCCTGGAAGTTACGACATTGACTGTAAATGTAAACAGTTTGTTTGTTGTTGAATTTATGTGGGATCACTCATCTTAGATAATTATTTGTTACAGCCAATGTTCCTATTAACTGTACCGTTCATGAGGTCCGTGTGAATCCCTGCAAGGAAGCTGCACAGAATAAACCATGCCGTTTGAAACGGGGTCACGATGCTAGCATCAGTTTTGACTACACAGCCGGTAAGTAGAAATTAAAAAAATTTAAATACATTAAAAATATTTAGATTAGTGTAAAATATATTTCTTTCCTTTTGCATAGATTTCGAAGGCACCGCTTTGGAAAGTCGTGCGTACTGGGCCACCGAGGTGGTAGATCTGCCGTTTTTAGGAATGGAAACAAATGCCTGCACAGCCACCGAATGTCCAGTTACTCCTGGCAAGAAACAGTCGTACACTGTATCCTTACCGATTTCCAAGAAATATCCAGTTGTGAGTGAACCCTTATGATTGTTCATACATCTAATGCAGTTTCGAACGATTGAATCGTGCATTTAAATATGTGGCGTTCGTGTTCCTCTACTGCTTCTAGAAAGAAGTAGGTGAATTGAGAAAATAAGTAAAAGATAATTTTTTTGTATTTTCAGAGAACTTACGATGTCAAGTGGAAGCTTTGGAACGAGCAACAGCAAGAGTGCTGCTTCAAATTCCAAATCAAACTGCACAAGTAAAGAAGCACTGTTCGACTCTTTGTTCGTTACACTCCGGCATCGTTAGGTCATTGCGATTTGCTATTTGATTATTTGATCGAATAAAACGGTCCTTTGTTAACGCAGCTTTGTTCTTCATTTATTTATATTCCTCAGAATCAACGTGTATACTTTTGGTGCTTCTTTTTCTTCCCAGCATGATTATCTTTACCGACCCTTCCTCGTTAAGAGAATTAACGAACCCATTGTTTGTCAATGTAGGACAGGATCGGTATGTCCACGTGGAGTCCAACTTCACAAACACAACACAATTGTTATATACTACACTGTGGGTACTTTTTTCATTATACTTAAAAGGTCAAAAAGTAAGATTCTCACTGGTGTGCCGAACTGCTCTCCCGTAACGAATTGCAGTTTACCAAGCTTTCTATTACCCGTTGAAAGTTCATCAGAGCAATTTAAAGTTTCCCTCGTAATTCCGCTACCCGGTTTACGTCCACGCCCTTCCGTGATAAATCCCACAACGCGCCTCCGGGAACTCCTACTGGGTTGATTCCGCAAGGCAGTCAGACTACCAATTGGGATAAACAAACTTAACGAGAAATATAAAGAAAGAGAAGTTTTCATGAGCAAGTCGTAAATTTAAGTCTGGCCATCTGTCGGTGAACTTTTGTACCAAGCAGCCCTAACCGTCGACCTACCGAGCTATTCGTTGACTTGTACAATTTCCTCAAACCAAATAAACAGCAGAAGACGTCCTACGACGTCTGACAATATTGTCTTCACGGCGTCGTCACGTGACAATTTTGTTTTATTAAAAAAAAGTACTCGCTGCGGACAGGATTCGAACCTGTGCGGGCAAAGCCCATTGGATTTCGAGTCCAACTCCTTAACCACTCGGACACCGCAGCTCGTCCGTAATATAAATGTAAGTTACAATTTTCATTATTCAATTTTCATGATTTTCACTGACAGTCATTTCTAACGTAATATATCATTTTATTATTCATACAGATCTACAAAATCTGTATGAAGACTTTGACCAAAACATACAGTAATATAACAGAACTGACTCTGAATAAACGTATAAAAATAATTTCTACAGGACAATGACAACTGAACAATCATCGTACTTTTTCCTCCATATTCACACACCGCCGAATTAATTATGGAATCGATTAATCGCGGACAAACTAAATGCACGTACTGTGAGACGATACGCCCAGCGCCATCTAACCTGCATAACATACGATACCGAGTAATTATTATCAGTCAACACTTACCATGAAGACCTTATTTTTAAAATGACTTTGCATCACTAGGTATATTTATATCGATATCATTACCTTAACTGATTACAAAATAGTCACCAGTCATACAATCGCTTTTCTTTTTCTACATTAAAAACTATTATCTGAATCGTATAATCAGTTATCATTATATCTTGCACGCCATTGACATTATCAAAATTTCACTTCAGTAATTCACTATGTACATAAAGGATTGCCTATCGCCAGGCGTCCAGATTGATATACAGTAAAGCCACAGTTAACGGTCGGGATATATTTTTAGAAATTAATGTACTAAACGAAACAACGTTAATGCGGGTACCCGTGTTGTTGGTACCACTGCTAGTAGTATCATTACTAGTAGTACCACTGGTAGTAGTAACATTGCTAATATCACTACTGCTAGTAGCATCATTGCTAGTAGTACCACTGATAGTGTCAATATTGTAGAATCAGAAAATTACGACTTTACCGACTGTTTGCAATAAAAAACCAGCATTGAACAAGGTTAGGGTCAACTGAAGTCTCACTGTACAATAGTCCATATACGACATCTGATGAAAAGACAAGGATCAGTAATCACGTACAGTTATGAAAGTTTGATAGTATAATTACAAAATCATCACGAGATAAATGATCGAATTGGACGATAACCTAATTTACGTAAATTTTGTTATCATTCACAAGTTTTAAGTGGGTATCATTTATCAACTTTGTTATTATGAACAGTGGGCCGTTCTGCAGGCTTACGACTGTACCACGTGCATCAAAACTAAGTTAGTAAGAACAAAGAGAACAGACAACTCTCTTTTATGAGCGTTTGACATAAAAAGTAATTGTGACAAAAAAAAAGATAACGGCGATAGATCGATGATTAAAAGAACGTCTGAATGAGTCACGTATAGCTACTAGTAAAGGTATAGTTAGTGCAATTGTATGTATATAGTAAACGTCACTGTGGCTCCGTTTGCATGTATGAAAGTACAATGGATATCTATATATATATATATATATATATATATATATACGCAGTGTGTATAGCTGGTAGAGACGTAGGAAATGAACTGAAATAGAAACTTTTACTTCAGCTGGAAAGAAAGTCATGATTCGCAAAAGGAAGTGTATACGTCTCCCTGTGTTACGGTTGGTAACCTAAATTTGTCTTATGACTGTCCAATGACCGCATAAAGAATTTTTTTGGCAATTTGGCAGAAAAATTCATTTGGCAAAAGAAATCAACCAAAATTTTGCGACAGTAGAAGATTGTTTTTTTTTCTGTTTCGTAATGCCCAGAACGAGCCGTGAGTCATTGGTTGGGCATTATCTAAAGATCGTGTCTCCTACCGGTAGATCGATGCGAAAATTCAATAATCTATCTCATAAATGAATTTAGTCATTCTGAGAGCATCAGTTCTACCGTTACGTTATAGATAACAGGCACGTCATACGTACGTCAATTATTTTACGTTTTTTTAATTTCAATTTGATAACAATCATTTCTAAGAGTCTAATCGTTATTTTTAAAAGGTCAGCAATTGTTTTGCCTTCGTGATTATAGCTGTCTGATATTAAAGTTGATGAATTGCTACCTGCGAGTATAATTTTTCGATTTTTTCTTTAATTAAGTAAAATGGTCGTTATACGATCTTCTTGTTTATATGGCAATCAATAAGGAAGGTGCGTATGTAAATTAATGAAGTAACGCTGCTCTCCTCGAATTTCAGCCACTTAGCACACGACCCACTCACTGTGGGTGATATCAGCGTTATTAAAGATCATGAGAAAGATCACGCAGTATAAGAAACGTATATAGCGAAGTAGACAAATATAAAATAAAAAAAAATACACCCACAAAGCAGTGAGTACTGTCATTAGCGAATTTATTTTTTTTTAATTTCAATTTTTATATAACATGGATGAATTTTCATTTTGGTACTATACACAGGTAAATCGTGCAGTTATCAAGTACGGACTATAACTTCCTATCAAACGCACAATGTTTACCGTCCATACTAAAGTACCTAGAGACGGTAAGCCTTAAATGCACGCATGCCAATCGACATTTTTCCAGGTGGTTTAAGTCGACACGTCATCGATGTGGTTTCGCGATAAAAGACACACGCGGTACAAATTGAACAGAAAAACTAAATGAACATGGGCGCCACTTTAGCCATACCGTAAATTCTTTTATACAAAGTACATTTTTCCAAGCGTTGATTGGACGCCAAGCCGATTGTCAGAAGCAGTGGCGGGCAGGTATACCAGGAGCGTAACGATGACAATAGGGGCCCCGGAGTCGAATGATACTATCAATCGTTTAATTAAATTTTGATATAATAAATATGTTTGTTAACAATGTAAAGTTGCTTACACTACTTTTTTAAATACTTTTAGTAAATAATTAATTATTTAAAGAAAATTGTTTTACGGTATATCTTACAATGTTATTACTATACTTCGGGCTTCTTCACGGCGTGGTACGGCACTGTCAACCAAACTGCTAGCACAGCTCACCTGTTGGCTTTGCCAGTACCTGGCTGAGGTCTCGACAGCGCGGTTCCTTATAACCAAGTGCGGAATATATAGTCTTCGCTCCGTTTAGACTGCATTAGCGTCGTGTCGTGTGAATTAATTTAGCGTGAACTGGAGAGCAAGTTAGTTTTTATTTTCGTTCTTATACATTGACAAGGTATGACGGGAGACGCGTCGTTGCTTAAGAGAGCGAAAGAGTAACGAGAGAAAGATATATACAGACGAATGAAAAGCATAGAAAGCGGAAGGCTGTACTATAACATTACGAATCCGGAATTATCGGCTGGCGGATCGTGCGAGACGCAGGAGGTTGTTGCGTGCGAAAATTTTTAGCGGATTCTTAACGGGTTCCTTGGATTGTATGTAAATATCACGATTAAATCATACGACGCCTGAAGGCTAATTTTTTTCTCACTGAATAAAATTTCTTTTTCTTAATCCTTCTTGTCCCGATGTCTTTACATTGTTTGGTAAAGATTTTTAACTCTTTCTTTTTTTTTAAATTCTATATATATTTCTTTTCAATTATTCTTCAAAACAGCTTAAGGCGTATTGTGTGCTTTTGGGAAATAATAATAGGGACTTTACGTGTTTCTTGTTCTAAATCGTATTTGGTGAATTTATCAGGTGCTTTCTATAATTAAAAAAATTACCCCAGGTTACATGGTTGTTCGGGGGATCTCTTCTAATTGTTTCTCCAAAGGATCTTCAATTTTAACGTCTTTGCAAATTCACCAACTTTCAAATCCCTCTTTGCAACTTTCAATGGGCTTGGTTGTAGCTTATCGACCCGGTAGGAATGAGACTCCGAGGGTATTTTCCCTCGAGGGTCTTTTATCAGGTACCATGACTATTTGCAATCCCATGTCATCTGGTCCATTTGATTTTATCCTTTACCTTTTCTAATCGAATGATCCGATTTCACGATTTTACTTTGCGAATTTGATAACTCGGGTGAAAAAAAAAATTTTCGAAAGCCGTCCGCGTACATTCCACTCGTATGTACTATATTGCACGGTATCCGTATTGATACGAGAGAGGCTGGGTTACATTCCGTTCCCACCAAACACGAGATTATCGTCACACGACTACCGTACCATACGATTCCCAGAAGCGAAGTCGAAAATTTTCTTATCTTTCCATGAGCATGATCCGAAGCGTATACGTCCGAGCATTATGTGAGATTACCAGATGTCATTTATCGTAACCCGATAACGATAGATTAAGGTCGTGAAGATCTAACAATGCTGATGACGATCGCAATAATTCAACCTGCTACCGATAACGGCTTAACCCCAAAATTGAAGATATCGTCATCGTCCAATCGGATAAAACAAAATAGTGATAAAAAAATTGTATTCAAAGAACAGTCTCACTAAACAACAATAAATTAGCTGGCAAACGTGAAAATTTTTTTTTTCGGGATTTTTACAATTTTTCAAAAATTTTTTATACTCGGTTAAGAGGATGAGTCTATAGAAAAATTACTTCACTCAGCGTCCATGATACTTATAGGGAATTTTTGATAGATTTTTCTTTTATTATATGTCGGTTACGTTATACCCAGTGACGAATTCTCATTCGACATTATTTATTTGTGTATTTTGAAATTTGTGCCCAATGACAGTTAACGGACAGTTTAAATTCGAACGGAGTCTCGGGCGAACTATGTTTCCAATTGTGAATTCTCAGTGCGGTCATGCAAATTTTTCAACGCTCAAAGACACGTCCAAGTATATTTAAGGTGCAGCTAGAGTCACCTCGAGGAATTCCGACGACAACTAATCGTATACGAATCGTAACGTTAATTGCTACCGGTTTCATACCGGAACGGGTCTGGGCGTAATTGTAAAAATCCAAAATTTCTTATATGCAGAGTCATCAAATTGGCAAATAATTTTTCCTATCTATCTCAGTTAAGATTAAAATCGATTACGCGATTCTATCGTACGTCATGGTAAAGAAATAAAAGAGTGTGTATATACTCGATTATATATATATAACCTTGCGATTTCTAATCATGCATTTCCGTTATACGCACATTGAATACCTAGCCAATCGATAACGGATCAATGATCGCGAAACTATCGATCACCTTCACACCTTAGAAGACACGAAATGTCCAGTAGACTTTTAGCACCCGTGACAATAGGATCGCTATTTGTAATTTAGCGCTTAGATCACATTTCTTTTTGACACCCTGTAGCGTCCAGACGCTAACGATACTCCCTGTGTCACGAGTGACTTTACGCGATCGTCGTGTTGATTTTGTAAGCCGTGACCCACTTGGACGCGGTAAAAGACACCCGCGCTGTATTTCAGCGCGAGTCGTTATACTGGGTGTTCGGAAGAAAAGAATTTTTCAAAAATCAATCTCAACCGTCGCGACGATCTATTCCTCTCGTTAGATTCACCGCCATTATTTTATATCCGGGAATGATACCGGTAAACAGTGGAAAAAAGACTGTTCCTCGTATTTAAAAAAAAAAATTCTATATTGTTGTATCTTCTGTACTGTCTGACAAGGTCTTAAAAGTCTATACCATTCGAGGTATAATGGAGGACCAATTACCCAACGTGTGTGTAATAGGTTCGTATATGGTGTTACGACTTGCGCTATGGAGGCTGTGCGATTCGTTTTGTACCTACTCGTAAAATAAGCTGCGTGAAGTCTCCTTATACTAATATGGTACGACACGCTCGGGTCAATGCTTACTGGTTTTCGCGTAACCAATGCACCAGTTTTGGCGAGGATTGAAACAAGTCGGATTTTAATTGTGAGAGAAGATACTAACGATAATCGTGTGATTGGCTAAAGCTTAAAATTTATTGAAAGACTGTTAGAAGTAATTATAATTGAATGATTATCATTAATTATCACAATACCTTGTATTTCAGAGGAGCACGATTCGAAAGAGGCGCCAAATTATGAGAGAGAAAATTCCGAGTCAACGATGCGCGTGAACGGGCATCAACAGGAGATTTCGACCTGTCAAGAAATGGGTAAGAAAATTGTCACTGCGGAGAATGATAATTGTAAAGCTTAAAATTATACGAGAAAGCAGAAGGTCGCATTGAGTTGTCTGTTCTGTAAACAGACATTTGATTCAATAAGTACAACTGGCAGAATGACGAATCTGAAAGTCGTATGCTACGGAGACAGTTGGCGCGCATGCGCAGATACGAGTCTACGCTTTGAATGCGTACAGGTCGAGACAAAATTCGTGAATTCCTATGACACGTGAGTCGTACGAAAAATAGAAGAATTATAAATCGCAAAACCAATTGTTCAGGTATTTACGTCTGGTTTGCATGGTCAGGTATTGTGCCGGTATTACGATGATTATTATGTAAGTCATTCAAGGTAGCAACGGTGACGTTACGAAGGTGCGCCTAGCTCATCCTGTTCTTTCATTAATATTGATGGTACATCTGGGAATGGTAACCGAGTGGGTCTACGATATAGACGTATATATTTGATAGTTAAATATACAAGTAATAAAAAATTAACTAAAGAAGTGTCCAAATCATTCAAAAATTATTCTTACGGTCATCATCGGATGGACTGAAAATCACTTATGTTCGTATATATATATATTCTTTCGCGTGGGTTAGTACGAACGACTCGTTTACATTGTCCTGGGCTATTAGCGCCATTAGAAACGTTACATATGTAATTCAGTGACACCCACATGCTCGGGCTACGCCCACGTATCATGGGAATCCCATCTAAAAATATATCAGCTGATCTTAAGCATTTATAATTGGCGTCTTATGGTCAATGTCATTGTCAGTGAATCTCGCAGTGATCGATACCTATATATTTATTGATCGTCGACCGACACGTGGGACCTACCCTTGTCAGAGGGTGACGCGCAATTTTGTTATTCACGTAAAAAGGAGGTGGTCGCTGTGGAACGTTTAGATAACTCTATCGAAAATGTTGAGATACTCCGCTCGAAAATCATCTTGAACAGTTTGACCCGGGTGCCGTACTTCTTTACGCACGGGCGATCCTCATCTAGATAATCGCGCGTGTATCTGGAACGTATTGATCGTGTCTAAAGCAGCTGGGTTCTGTCTGACAGTAGCGTTAGGGCCGGCATAGTGAAAACACGTGCGAACGGCATAAATGTTAGAGACCCGTGGAGTATCGGATACGCGAAACGTTTCATATTATATCGATAAAAAAAGGCAAAGAACTTGAATGTAGAATAGAACAAAGGAAAATCGAAGCGGAATAACGGAAGTGTCAAAAATATATTTTTAATGACGTACGTTTGCCCAGTTGAAGGAAGTAAAATCAAAAAGTTGTCTTTTGTTCTCAGAGCGAATGTATACAAAACAGCAGGGGGGGGGGGAATGCAAAATAAAAATAAACAAATTTTATGTGAAATAAACTCAGCGCGAATCGGATTGGAAATTTGACTCCTTTTTTAATTTACTCAAACATCATACGACGTTTGAGTATACATGGCACGTTACATAATTTCACTGTGTATACGTTCGTGACACATATGACACGTATATTGCAAGTTCATAACGAGATTTCAGTGTGCACCACTGGTTTTCTTTGGTTTGATGTACAGAAATTAACTGTTGGAATTATCCCCCAAAAAAATGTCTAGAAATTTTTAAATCGGTCCAAGGGCGATTATTTTTGGTTACTCGTAAATTTGCCGTTGCTATTTTGACTCGGTCTGTCCACGTTGTCACGGCAACGAGTCAAGCGACAGTTAATAATTAAAAATATCAACTATCATCAAATAACGATATAGGCTATTGGTTGATTCATACAAAAAAATAATCAACAAAAATGTCAAAAGCACCTGATTCGAAATTCCATACGGAATTTATAAAGAAATGTAGACAGTCAACAACTCGCTAGCGAATAATTTTCCAAGACAAAAATAAATAGTGAAAGATTTTCGTATATAACCAGCCTACTTGTAGCGAAGCTACCACGTGCTGGATAGTGGCGAGGGAGGGCGTCCTCTACCGTCGCTTCAGTTCCGCAGAAACTCTTGAGACACGCCGGTCGGGTAAATTGTCACGCAATATAAGCGACGCAGTCGATACGCGATAAGCATAAGAAAAGCACGAAAGTGCAGACATAACAAACATGGCGTGTATACGAGGATAAGTTCGTTGAACAGTGTATAATTTAACGGCCGGTAATAATACTCAATTGACTGATATATTTTAATACCGCCGTGAATCAAGACCGGAGGTTTAATCGTCATGTCTACTCCGGATACTATGGACACCATCAATGAGGCCGAACAAGCATGGCGTGAGTAGCTATAGATTGGATAGACGTATGGTTTGGTATATGTAGATGTCAATATTATATGTATATGCATATAATGACTACGAACGTTAACAGTACAGAATTTGAAAGGCCAGGAGAATCGGCACAAGTCGCTCTCAAGTGCTGCCATCTAGAGAATCGTAATGATTTCGAAAGGCTCTTTGGAAAGTTTTTTTTTCTTTTCAATGCTATACACTTAGTCGGCTTTTTAGGTACTTGTGCTTAGTGTTATAAGAGTTGAGGAGAATGCATTGTTAAGATAGTTTTCTGGAGTGAAGGATTATATGAGAAGTCTAACGATCTCGATATGTTAAATTCGTGAATCTTGCAGATGAGATGCTGGAATGCGAGACCGGCTCGTTGCTCGGAAGAGTCGCTGATCTCGAAAGGCAGTCCTTGGCGCAGAGGGATGAGATTGTTTGTCTCCGGGCGACCCTTGCCGACGCTCTCAGACGAATTTCTCAGCTTGAAGGACGAGATCGTAGGGAGGATGAGCGGATTGACAGAAGAGGAGACAGAGCCATATCGTCTCCCATTAGAAACGGTCACGTGCCTCTTAGAAGTGGGTATCTGTGAGATATATGTTGTGTTATTTATACGAATGGCGATAAATGATAACCCTAAAATTGAAAGTCTCGATAAATCGTAAGGTTATTTATTGATTCTTTGTAATATCTTGAAATTCAATTATTTTACATTTGGTTCTTCCACGTTAATACCATTTGCTGCCTTAATAAACAGCTAACAGCGGCATGATCAGACAAAATAGGCGTAAAAAATACATCTCCCTGTGTACGTGTAACGATGGCCGACAAAGTGGTTTATGGTTAACATTGAAATTGGTGGAGTTAAAAATTATTTGTAATATTAAAACCTTATTTACAGGTAGTCAGAGTACGGGCTCTCAGAAGGACCTTAGATTGAGACAAGGTGGTACCTCGTCCTTGAAAAATAATTCAGGTTCTACGCATGACGTAAGGGACGGTTCGAGTCCCAAAAGACCAACGAGTTACACGCCACCTTCGCAACTTCCGCAGAGGTAGTGAGCATGCCGTCTAAACTGATCCAACCTGAGCTGTCTTAATCTTCTAACTCAATGCTTGTAAATAAGAACGTGGGTTGAGCGGAATTTCTGTCTTGTTTTTTTAGGAGGTCTGTTCATTACCAGTCTACCGGATCACTTCATTCGGATAGTCCAAGCAGCAGTAGCGTCTCCCCAGTGCCATCTCCTAGTCCAAGAGCAACGCCTTTACCAGTAGCAAGGTAGGTTGGGTTGCCAAGTCCACAATACAGAAAGTCATTACACAGACGTATCTTGGTCCCCGTCGATTCTTGAAATGGACGTGTCCCCTGTAACAAATATTGAAAATAAAAAACCACGCACGCTCAGGTCGCCGACGACGAGAGCAAACGGACCACCCCAAAGTAGTCTGAGACGTGCTAAGAGATGGTCCTCGACTGGTGACTTTATTCACTCGCATCAACAGTCCCAGGGTAATCACGCTCAGCTGGTTGGTTCCTCCAGGTAGGTTTATTAACTTGGTGAATTCATTTTTTCACGCTCTTTTTCCATTACGCACCGCTTAGACTTGTTTGATTTTTCAAGCTTGTTGTTTTCACCTCGGTGCTTGTTCGATTTTAGCTGGCAGAGACCACCTTATCTAATTTTATTTTTAGTTATTTTTTTTTGTTCTGCACTGCATGGTTTTTCGTTTCCATTTTTATAGATTGTCAGCATCCACCAAGTCCTTGTTCAATCTTTTCAAGCCTCCAGTACTCAGTAACGTGAAGCACGGGTAAGTAAATGAAGGGCTGTGGTATGGATATATATATACCCACTGTGCTACTACAATGTGTGTTGGGACTTGTACCGAGCACGCCATTAATCGAGGACGCTTTACCTGTGAACTTTGACCTCGCATGCAAATAATGTCAGAGGTTGCACGGAATTCCTGGGATAAGTGGAAACCACCTCCGCAAACTGTGCTCGACGTGGGCGTGCATAATCTAGTAAATTTATAATATAGAACCTTCCTGGTTACCTCGTAAAAATTCTTTTTACAACAAATATGTTTTTGGCTATTTTTTCTATTTTCTTCTCCGTCTCTCTGACTCGTCAGACGATTACCTAATGGAAAATTTACATAAACAGCCGGTGCTTGTAGGGGCTTCACAAAAGATCATAAATTCGGGTGCCGATGCAATAAATGAGCATGGACCCAAAGTAAATTCACAAAATTCAAAAAGAGTATATATATATATGTATGTATATATATATATATATATATATCTAAAGAAGGGTGATAAGTGAAAGAAAAGAAAATAATGAATTCTCAATAGACTATAATAAATTGCATCAGTAGCAGCGGTGACTCGTGTCCTGCAATTGAGTAAGAATTGCGAGCACAACTTCCTGCAGCATGAAGTGGCAACATTGAGCGGAAGCTACGAAACGGGGGGATCAACGAAGTCAATTCGCCTTGAAGAAAAATAATCGATAATCCCAAATTGCGGATCGAGGTCTTCCTGTGTCAATTGCGTAGATCGCTAAAGCACTAAAGAAAAAAAGAATTAACGCATGTAAAAAATTTTTCGCAATACGTCTCGAAAATTATGTTGCATAAAACGATCAGAAAAAGGTCATCCAATAACATTAAATTTGTAATGGCGTAATATCGCGACAATTCGCTCTCACGAGTTTTACGGTCTCAACTGGTGGTTATACGTACACAGTTTACATATATATTGTGTACGTCGAGTGAGTCATCCGTTTCAGGGCAAGAGAGGATTGCGAGTATTACGAAGCATTCTCAGAGTGGCGAAAGTCTCTGTGCCCAGCTGGTATCCAACAGTGAGACTCGGCGAATCGTGTCGTCGGGTTGCCGCGCTCGGGAATTGTGGGAAATACAGGATTGAAAATTTTGAAAAAATACGTTACGCTACCGTCGATCCGTTAGATTCGAATAATAGCAGTAGATCGCGATAGGCCTTGTAAATAAGCACAGAAAACACGAGTAAGAATGACGTTGTGAACGTCAGCCATTTTTAATATAAAAATGACATTGTTTTTCACGTGTTTTCTCCTTTCATTTCTAGCACCAGAGACATGCAGTACAACGAAGAAGAGGGTACGGTACTTATGTACTTGAGAGGACGACCCGTAGTTCTCTACGTTCCGACCCCTGCCATCGAGTCCTATGATCTGCACAAGGTCAGCACACCGCCCCAGAGTAAATTGAAACTCGATTGGGTTTATGGATACAGAGGACGAGACTGCAGGAGCAATTTGCATCTGTTGCCAACCGGTGAGATCGTTTATTTCGTCGCTGCTGCCGTTGTGCTTTATAACATGGAGGAACATAGCCAAAGACACTACCTGGGTCATACTGATGACGTGAAGTGGTATGGATGCCATTGTATTATATATAATTTACATAATGAATACGACGAGTTTATACCTTTGGTATAATTTAATACTCTTTCAACAGCATAGCAATTCATCCCAATAAGCTGTTGGTAGCTACTGGTCAGGTAGCAGGTACGGATCGCAGGGATTCTATGGTAAGAGACAATGACTTGGAGTAACGTTTTATTTAATGGGACTAGGATGTATGGTGGATTGATAAGGATATTATTATTTCAGCCACACATCAGAATATGGAATTCCGTTAGTCTCAGTACCATGAGTGTCATTGGCAGTGGTGAGTTTGATGGGAGCATCTGTTGCTTATCCTTCTCGAAGGCTGATGGCGGTAACTTCCTGTGCGCCATTGACGAGACTTCCGATCACAATATATCAGTGTGGGATTGGCAGAAGAGTGATCGTGGGGTCAAGGTTACTGAGACCAAGGTGAGCAGCACGATGTCAAGTATATCAATTACCTGCGCATGTCTTTGCTTACGTGGTTGTCTGGATATGAATTTTGAAAAGGACCAAGACCCACTGGTACTTCTCTTCTGGCTCGAGCCGGATGTCACTTGTTTAACGGAGGATGATTCCAATTGCAGTGCTCCGTCGACACGGTAGTATGCGCAGAGTGGCATCCGCTGGAACGAAACCAAATAGTCTCCTGTGGGAAGGGACACGTGTCCTTCTGGTCCTTGAATAACGGTGGGACGCTTTACAAGCGCATGGGAGTTTTTGAGAATCGTGACAAGCCGAGATATGTCACTTGCGTGGCTTTCAATCAAAATGGGGATATACTTACCGGTGACAGTAATGGAAATATCATCGTTTGGGCCAGGGGTAAGATTTTTATTATTTTGTACAGCGTTGATAATTATTTTATCGTATAAACATGATTAATTCATTATAATTTCATAGGTACGAATACTATATCACGGCTGGTTAGAAATCTTCATGAGGGCTCGATATTCTCTATATGCGTATTGAAGAATGGTAACGTTGTTACCGGCGGTGGTAAGGACGGTCGAATACTTCACTTTGATGGAAATCTCAATCCCACGGGAGAAGAGGCGCAGGTATGGTTATTCGAATTTTAATCAAGACTCATTAAGCTTACTGGCACGATGATCTTGTAGATTGAAGATCATTTTGGTGGAATCCGAACAGTCTCAGAGGGCAGGGGTTCGCAATTGCTCGTTGGCACCACCAGAAATTGCATCCTGGTCGGTGATGTGGAAATGGGTTTCAGTCCAGCCATGTTGGGACACACTGAAGAGGTTTGGGGTCTTGCGGCTCATCCGACTCTACCCCAATTTGCGACTGCAGCTCACGACAGACTTCTCCAGATGTGGGACAGTCTCAGTCATACTGTCGTTTGGAGTAAAGATATTGGGGTTGGCTTTTTTAAATGATAACTTTTCTTTAATTTATACTCAATGGACATTCCGAATTTAATTTGATTTATTTACGTTCACAGGAACAAGCCCAGAGTGTCTGCTTCTCACCGGACGGCACGGTTATGGTTGTTGGCTGTGTTTCTGGTAAATGGTTGGCCATTGACAGTGAAACCAGAGAATTGTATACGCACCATTCTGATGGTTCCGAGCCCCTACAGGTGAGATATTGAAATCTGTCTTATCAATCATTTTGTGTTATGTCGAGTTAAGGCTACTAGATTAATAATTTTTAAATATCTTTACAGGTCGTCAGATTTTCACCTGATGGATCCTTGTTGGCTGTTGGTTCCAGGGATAATTATATTTATATATATCAAGTCAATGAAGACGCGACCAAATACAGTCGTGTGGGACGTTGCATGGTGAGTTATATAAAAAATTGTTATTTTTACTGATAACAGCTTGAATTATTATCGCTAGTGATAATAACCAAATAAATACGTGCATATAGTCCACTCGTGATAAATTCGTTAATTTCTTTATAGCCAAAGCGGATTCGGCGTCACGGAGTAAGATTTGTGTCGTATCCCTGTAGAGAAACTCTTTGTGAATTTACAAAGTAATATATTCAATCGATTAATAACATTTATTATTTGCAAAGAGTTCGCATGCAAATACTTTGTTTTAGCTCATAAGTGCATTTGTCGTAGTAGCATCAGCTTTCACATGTGTCAAGTACCGACAGAGTAGATATAACCACAGTAGCTAATACACCAAAAAAATTACCTCAAATGTATTTTCCTTATTATAATATTAAATTTCCATTATTTCCAGGGACATTCTAGTTTCATAACGCATTTGGATTGGTCCGTGGATAGTCAGTATCTACGATCAAACAGCGGTGACTACGAATTGCTATACTGTAAGTGAAAATGTTCAATTTACCGATCATCGGTAAAAAGTTGGTCCATTTTTATGGAATTTGAAAGATTTTCAAAATCCTCTGTAAAACCAATATGAAAATTATTTTAGGGAATCCCGGAGTCTGCCGTCAAATTCCACAATCCTCAATGCTAAGGGACGTCGACTGGGCAACCCACACGTGCGTTATATCATTCGAAACTATTGGAATTTGGCCAGAGGGCGCAGACGGTACAGACGTGAACAACTGTACCCGCAGCGGGGATGGTAAATTATTGGCTACCGGGGATGATTTTGGCAAGGTCAAACTCTTCTCATACCCAGCCTGCCAGCCGAAGGTAATTATTGAAAATAATAATTTTTTTCCCTGTTATCCTTATCAATATTTTTAATAATTACAGTCTCTTTATCACGTACACGGTGGCCACTCGAGTCACGTGACTAACGTGTCCTTCCTCCAGGACGATATAAGGCTCGTTTCCATTGGAGGTGGCGACACCAGCGTTCTGCAATGGATCGTCAATTAATAGGAACATACTCAAAAATTATTATTTTAAAAATTTATCTGTTGACCGTCTCACAAACGAGATCGTGCAACTCTCAACGAAAACTGTACGGATCGCCACCAAAATTGTCTTTATAGAAATTAGATGTTAATTGTAAAAAAAAAAAAAATGAAAGACAAGGAAACAAGGATCAATGTACACGGCTCAAACGATTCTGACGCATAAAAAACGTGGCTTGAGGAGAAGGCTTCCCCTACTCAGCACGCTCTTCAGTCCTAAGTTATTCTAAGCTGATTCTATGCGCATCTACGACGCGCAGTATATGTATAACGTAGGACTGAAGAGCATGCTGAGTAGGGGAAGCCTTCTCCTCAAGCCACGTTTTTTATGCGTCAGAATCGTTTGAGCCGGGTGTACATACATGTCACACATGTATGTACGACCGGACAAGAAAATCACGTACTCACAAAACAGACACACAGACGTTCTGTATCAAATTGCCGTCCATAGAAAGTAACGTACCTCGTGACGATCGATTCCCGATCGAAAGAGGATGAGATCAATCTCGATCGATATCGGATCGGGTATCGATCGCTAATCCGACACCGACAGAAAGTTCGGTGTGAAGGGGTCTTAACGTAACGGAGATATGCGTGTATATAGAATGGTAAATGCAATGTAATATTTTTTTTTTCTTCTTGTCGTTGCCCAGTAACTTGCATTTTTTTTTTGGTATGAACGTTTTACCAAAGTTAACAAAACAGGAGAGAATTGTCGGTGTACTTTTTATTTATCCTTTGATTATTTCCCTTAAACTTTTTCTTTTTCATACCTCCCCCCGTTCTCTCTTGTTCTGTATTCCACACTCCAGTACGTCTCTTCAACTCTCACTATGCAATATATATATTTTATTTATGTCACGCTCGACAATTGTATGCATCTACCTTTGACAAATAAACGGTATTAAATACGCAGTTGGTTGGTCCCCAGGAGTCTCCTCTGTTTGATCTTGACGCCTCGCGGAGAGAAGTCGTCGCCGGCATTGATTTTTGCCCGGGAGGGAAATCCGATTAATCTTCCTTTTTTCATCACTCGAACACGTCGTTCTCTTAGTTTTCTTTGCTCGTCGCCTCCGAGAAATATAGAAAGACAAAGACTAGGTAGGGAAAGGAGGGGAGGTCAGACGCGAATAAGTATACAGCATTGAAAAGAGACGCAGACAGCATCTTCTTGTGCAGCCTAACGAATTCCATTATCAAAAAGTTGCATCCGTTCCAAACGGCACGTTGCAATTTAAATTCGTGTAAATAATATCTTTGAAATTATACCAAATTCTTGACGATCCCCGTAAACTGTTACCACGGCAAATTTTATTATTCAACATTGTCATGTAAGACGTGTCCAACGTCATAAGCGTCACGGACGAAAAGCTTCGGTGATTTTTAAATGAAAAATACAGCCTAAACGCCTCACCGGTTCTACCGTCGAGTCTAACGTCGAGTCAAGACGTAAAGAGCAGTGAAAGCAACGAGCAAAGTTCGCGCCGTAATCGGCTTCTGTAAAACCATTAGGCGTCCAGAACCAGAGCGGAAACGCTGAGTGAAAACCTAAAGGTGAGCTAACGAATTAGCAATCGAGTCAACAGCACGACTGTACGAGCGAGCGAGTATAATAAATTCGTAAAACAATATTTTAAAGTAACGAACTCTTAAAATTCTATCTTATATTAATTTTACAGATCCACGTATACGTGTGTTAGATTTTTGGTCAGAGCAATATAAGACAACGAGAAGACTCCTTGGCGCGCGACGTTCATTCATGGAATCTTGCAACACGCTCCGCGTTACACGCTCGATTACATAAAGCCGTTCCCCGTCTTCGTACGTGTATATGCATTCTTAGTCAGTTGGCCAAGTGGTGGTTGGCGCACAAGTAGGACACCACTTTCCCTGGGTCGGTAGGTAAGCGAGCATAAACTACACGACTACACGAAAGGAACGAGAGTTGCTTTTAAAGCTTAGTCCGACCGAGTCTCTTAGGGCTCGAGTAAGTCACTGTTATAACCTGTACGATAATCGATGACTCTTGCGCATTAAATAGAATTACCGAGTTTACGTACGTATGTAATTTACGTCAGAGTTTAGAGAAATAAGTGAAAACGAAGCTGAGGCTAAATTTTAAATGCAGCAGTAACACTTATATTCTGGAACTGTACATATGGAGAGTGTATCAGTTAAGATGCTGGTTCGCGGTGGAGTAATTTTTTGGGAAAGCAGTTATGGTAATTCCGCAAAATTCCGCCAGGTGGGCGCGAAACGAAAATTCGATAGATTGCTAAATATCTCATAAGATAGCATTTTTATTGGGAGCAGCGTTGGTAGTTCCGGAAAACTCCACCAGGCGGCGCTGTTGGCACCAACGGTACTTCCAGATAGTTCTACTAGGGGGATCAAAAAGTTCCGCTACGTCCGCACGCAGTTAAGGCCAGTATCGAAAATCAGTAAAAAACGTTACAAATTTCGAACGCAAATATCTCTTATTACGTATTCCATTCCTATTAACTCTTATTTCGTCTCTATACCCTTTTCTTGATCTACAACTTACATTTAACTATCTCCGATATCACTGGAAATGTCCAAGATTTTTTTTTTATTCGCGAACGTAAGACAATAACAATACGCGTAGTCTAAAAACATTCAATACCAGTCACATCAGATTTTCAAAATCCTGCACCCTGCCGCAAACGTGCCTCTCAGCTGATACACTCTTACGGTTGCGTAGACCCTTTTGAGTTGATCCTCGGAGTGTCATTAGTCAGCGAGATGATTTCCCTCTGTCGTTAATGCTAGGCTGCGAAACGCGTTAAAGGTTAGATAAATGTTACGAAGTCAGCGGGACATTTCCTTCTGTCTATTTCGAAGCCGGTGTCCGTGGACGTGAAGTTGGCTGGAGAATTTATTTCGAATACACATATGTAGATTATACACAGCCACGTAGAATCCTGTACGTAACGAGGCTCTGGACTTTTTTTTCTTTTTTTCCTAATACACACTTAGAAAATACACTCACCGTAGAGAGAGACGAATGGCCGTGCATTCGAGACGTGGAAAAAAGATGGAGCGTTGGATGCGACGGAAGGAGAAGCCGCGACAGAGAAGCGGAGCGAAGGTAGACCCGATCTGTCTATATATGTATACAGAGAAGGAAGACGGTGGCAGGCAACGCCCTTAAGGTTCAAATGAACTAGAGGAGGATGGTAGTGGCAGGGAAGGTTCCCGAAGGCGTGCAGGATAGATGGGAGTATTGTAGCAAGAGGGATGAAAGGAGGGGAAGAGAGAAAGAGAGAGGGAGGTATGAAAAAAAAAAGAGACACTTGGCTTCAAATCAAGGACCAGACGAACCGGTCTCCCCCTCCGAGACGCGCCTAATTTTTTTTCTACCTTTTTTACTGCTCGGCGTTAACCTTTTTTTTTATTATTCATTCTTTCTTTTTCTTTTTCGTCAGGCAGATCCTCGCAGGTGTCCGTCGCTGCTCGAGGGATGCCCAAATATCTTCTTATGCATTTACCAAACCACCTACGGCCCAGCCACTCTGCTTTGAGGTTAGGGGTTGGTCCTCGCGTGCGTCCCGGATACTTGACGGCGGTCCGTTGCCAACTTCACGTAGCTCGAGCCTCGGGCAGCCTCTGCCGAAGGAAATCACACGACATCTGGAATGAACGAGTAGAATGTATAAGGAGGTGCGCATTGCTGCGCAAGATCCACGTCGGCATACGAATAGGAGACACTTGGGTATATTTTGTTCTCTTGAATTTTTATCCAATCCCTTGCATTTACGCTTTTCTTTTTTTTTTCTTTTTTTTTCTTTTTTTTTGGGTATACCTACAGTTCGCATTAAATTTTATAATGATCCACGAACCGAGGGCATGGGTGGAATTGCGAAAATTGGCTTAAGAAAATTATACAGGGTGGACCGACAATTACGCGGCGAGCAAGTAACGTGCCGGAAACGTTCTCTTTCAGCTTACCTCGTACCTTCCGTCATTTTTACGTAAGACGCAGGCTGCTTTATGCATTACTGGAAATTCATGTTAAAAATTCATCTGGTGATTCCCCCCCCACACGCGTATACAGACATACGTGTAAATAGGAAAAATGCATATTCAATGTAGAATACCACGTATAAGGTGTGTTTGAGAATAGAAGAAAAAAAAACACACCTGATTACATTCTCTTGCCTTTCCATGACGTTTCACGATCCTTCGACTATATCGAACACGTCAGACATTATTATTGCCTGTATCTGCGGAAGTGACTTCCGGCTGCTTCGCAACACTTCCTTCCGCTTCGAATTATCATCGGACGGTACGAGGCATCGATACGTAATATAATCGGCGTATAAATTTTATTAAAAATATAAATCCACGGCTACGTTAAATACGTAAATTTGATTGACACGTCTGATTAGTATAATTAATTGATTACAAGCTCAAAGTCTTAGACTCGGTACAAAGCCGTGGTACGTTGCAGTACGTTTACTCGAGTAAAATATTTTTATTGTCGTGCTGTCACTCCTCGGCAATTAATATCAATTTATCAGCCCGTATTTCGGTAACACGCGACCCGCCACGCTTAAACGTACAAGTAGGGGGGAGGGGGGGGGGCATTTTCTAAATAATATAACGGGGCGCCCCCCGACAGCAACGTGAACTAGTCACATGCGGGTGCCTGTGGGAAATGAAAAATGACAACTGATCTTGCACATGGACCATACCCAATGATTCCCACGTAAACTGGAAAATTGGTTAAAACGGCAGCTCGGCCATTTTGGC